CACTGACCGTGTTCAGTATCTCGGTTTATGTACTTTCTTCAAGTGACACGGCAGCTACTACCCAAATAAGGTCGCATCGGAATGATGATTTATTTTTATTTTCACAAATCAGTTTAAACCATCGCAAAAATTTACCCGATACCTCATATATAATAATTGCTATAAACGCGCTTCCATCATTTCTGGAAACCCACGAACATATTTTTGGACGATTGTTGGACTACTCATATTATTATGACAAATAGCTCGTAGTTAAGTAGCCAAACAGAAATACGTTTTCTGTGCTGTGATGGATGGAAAAAAATTAGTTTCCACTACAAATTTCAATTTGTAGTCGACTGCCACAGGAGCCACTTGCACGATCAACATATATATTCCCACATGTAAAACATAGAGTGAATATAAGTCAGCGAGGTACTATGGTTGCTGAACTACTGTGGTAATTCGGTATCCAATAACCGATCAAGCCGAGATTCAAATTCTGTTCCGGCTGTTCGGTTTACTGTTCATGTTTTACCCAAAAAAACAGATATCTAATTTCAAGGGATAAAAAGTGACACGTTCATCATTTACTTGGAGTGAGTGCACGAGCTACTACTCCATAACCAAACATATATCCATGGGTTTGCTGAATAAACTAACGGGTGTACTTCAGCAGAGCTCCTTACCACTTTATCTTTACACGCGAGTTTTGTGGAAGAATATTGGGTTGTCTGTAGAGAATGCGATGCTGACCGAAATACGAGAACTTGAAGGCATATAGAAGGGGCAAGCTATCTATGCCATGCAAGCGCAAGCAGTTCGAGCTGGCACATGACATGATCGGGAAAGCCGATTTTGTCACAAAGATCTTGCGGCCATTCGATACGAAAGGACTTCATGCTTGCTTTCTAGCTCATGTAGATAAAACTGAATTGGGTGGGCAACAGGTTCACACAACCTAAGTTTGTTACCACAGTTCTATGACTGCTTCGGCAGTGTCTGCACTATTCAGTAAGATAGAAGTTTTTTAATCTACATGATCTACTCTTGTATGTGATACAACGAGACAAAGTAGATCTTCACACCTCCATAGTGCAGTGTTGTCCTCTGATGGGTGTTCCTGGGTACTTTCAGGCCATAGTTGTCTGCTAGTCGTCCACTCAACGCCAAAGCAAGCATAGTAAAACACAAACAAGCTTACGGAAGCGATATCCACAAACCGGATCTCTTGTGCGCACTAAATAAGCGCATTGAGCAGTGTAAGCTAAAACAGCTTTTTGAAAAGAATGTAAACGGCTTTGATTATAGCCGAATAAGAAACATGTTTCAGGTCTCCACGGTATTATTGACGTATCAGCTGCAGAGACTACATCTTGTCTTCCTGATGGTTCAGAGTATTTTGTATTTTTCTTGCTGTCTTTCCTTGTCCAGTCGTCTTCTGTTCGTCTTAAGAGAACGAAGGGATTTCGTCAAGTCCGGAGGTCTCTTAAAATGTCTACCTTCTAAAATGGATAAAGTTTGGTTTGTTGTTAATGAATTATTTGCAACTGAACGAGAAGCGATTCCTGCTTCGAAGGGATATTTTCACCTGAAAATTCAGGTGTGTTGAAGAAACTTCTTGTTTCTGTACTAACAGGGTGGCTGACGTTCAAGGGGCTTTTAGCCACCTTCACTCTGACGAATGAAGGATGCTACTACGGATGGTTTCATGAGAGTTTTAGTCTAGTTGGGTGTGTTTTGTCGAACTTAGAGATCAAGTCTCCATGCCTTGGCTTTCGGTCATTTTATATCTTTTTCATTTCCATTACATAAAAAGTTCTTTCCATATATCCAACACACATAACCATGCTTTCTAGACCACAGATTAGGAAGATAGCTGAGTAGTCTATGAGGTACAACTTGAAGTGGGACTAATTCAATTAGAAAGAAACACATTGAAAGATGATTTCAGAAGCATTGTAAGTCCCAGTTATTTTGTAGATTTCGGGGAAGGTGAGACGATGACAATAAAGGTGTTTTTATTGAAGTGTATGGTACAAGTATGGAATACGTACCAAGTTCCCCTTGCTTGATGTCAAACTGACACGGACCCTTCACGAAGAATTCAGCATCTGGGTTTAACTCCTGTAGAGAAGTTGGGAAATTTGCGTTTGAAGTGTATACAGGCCAGTTGTTTAAACGTTTTCCTAAATTAATTAAGAATTTTTCATCTATGTTTACTCTATGATGAAAAACTAGCTAGAAATCGCGACTACTGATCTCCCTCATTAGAACTGCACTGGCTTACCAGATTGGTCACCACAATACAAGGCACAAAGGTTGTGTAAGATGCCAGCATGAACGCTTTATTAGGATGGGAGTCAAATCAAACTCGTTTACATGAAGCATAGCGTGTCAGCTGATTACGAACAGAGAGTTCGTCTCAGCTACTGAGTACACTGATCAACCGAAGTGTTCGTTTTAGCAGGTCAGCTGGTACATCCTGTAAGAACTATCCAGAACGAGCTAGATATCACTAGAACATAGAGTTTACATTTATCACTGGCGTAATTTATGTAGTATTTAGTGTTCAGTAGAACGAGGAATATCAAGTCCACTGCAATTCCGTATAATTTTACAGCAGGATTTCATAAAAACCATGTAGCCTACCTTTACAAATGATTTTAAATTGTAGCGGCAGCTAAAAGCTACAAATTTGGCTTAGGTTACACCGAGGATGAACCAAACAGGATTTTTGGGCCTGCGCATTTTTACCAGGTGAACAAAAAGGTGGTATTCTTGCTGTAAGATCCAAGAATGTCATGCGATCATGAAATATGTAGACAAATCCAAAGAGTCAGAGACCTTTTATTTGGCACTAAGTTGTGCTTGCCGAATCCAGTTGACTGACATCCTAATGAGCTTTAAGGGAATCTCAGTTCGAATTTAGTTCGGCTGTTGGATGGGGAAGTTGGCCTGGACCTTCCGAGTCTCGGGTGTAGATTGAGGAAATTTGAAAATGACACCTTAGGCTGTGGCAAGTAAAAGCTATAGTGAAAACCATGCAGTTAAGGATTGGCAAACTGATTTACAAATTACAGCTAATCAGGTGCATATAAGAGAGTGCAACTCTAATCAAAAGCCTATTCAACTGACAGCAATTTATCAGCGATCTCCCCAGGGATAGCATATTTGACCCACAATTGCATATATCGCCGTCTGTTGGGTTCTGTTAGAATGCTTCATTTAGTCAAAGATCTCCCGAAACCAGTTTCCTGGTAATGTGTTGCTCACGCGCCCCAGTTATCAGTCTGGAGTTAACTCAGAGCAGATTGTGGGGGTTCTATTTGTCTAACGGCCAAGAAGGTTTCGTTTGCTGTGCGGAGGCGTTTCTTTGCTGCTGCTGAAGCTGACAATATCAAAATCCACCAGCTCCAAGTTTATTTACAAAGCTTATTTTCTGTGGTACCACCGGTTTACTCGAGTCCTTTACCCCCATCCCCACTAGAGAATCGAAACAGACAAATCCGGTGTTGAGATGTGGTCAATATGACAGAGAGATATGAAAGGGATTGCATAAAGTCTGGGTACTGTCCGTGCATCTGGCATTCCAGGATAGGGACCGCGCGATTCTCACTGTGCCCGGTTGGAGGCACGGTAAGATATGACTGCCTATAGGTGACAATGTCTCTTCCTATCCAAACTGCCTAGATGAGTGTGTGGATATGTAGGGACCTTGGAATGATTGATTTCTTTTCCCATAAACTTTTTTTGCTTTCTTCACAATATCTGTTTTGAATAAATTGTGACTGTGTGACAGCGAAGCACTACTGTTGAACATTGATATCATGCCCTACATCATGATAGTAATTAGTAATAGTAATAATAATGATGGTGATGATGCTGGTGATAATGAATCTTTCCAGTGTCGGACAAAATTCCGGTTCTACCTTTCAAACAATAGAATACACCTTATCAATATATGGTCCACTGACGACTGGACATGTTACACTACTCAGGTGAGTCTCCCAAAATTGATGTGCAAACGAGTGTATCTGTTAAATGTCTGTTTGACATCACTTTATTGTTGTATCCAAAACGGGATGGTTCCGCTAATTCAGTGTAATTGTCTAAGGGATTTGAGCGGTTTTGCTCTCAGCGGGCCAATAAAGAAGGACCTAGTGGTTAAATACCGATAAGGAGTGTAGCCAAACTAATGAATTCTGTCCAGTTGCTTTTATGAACTTCAGTCAGAAAATGTGTTTAAAAAATCAAGGCGATGCACCTTAGAAGTTGAAAAGTTTTCAATCCTTCAGAAAAATCTAGCTTCGACGTCAACTGAGTTTTCGTCTTATAAGTGAAGCCAATCTATACTGAAAAGCCGCGAAGCACTGTGCCAATGTTTTGCCCTTATTCGGAGTTATCAGTAGTGCGCATGTCACGAAACTCAAGGGAACTCCCAACCCGCGACTATCCGGCTAGTAGTTTGAACAGTTAGCCGTTGAGCCACAAGCTGCTGATCAGCTTTGCCACCACACCGGTCGCGTGGTCACGTGGTCTCGTGTTGACTGGCTCCTATAGTGGTGACTTCTCAGATGGCAATTTCACTCGCCTTGTGAAATTATTCGTCCTCTCAGCTACTTATAGATTGATGGTAGTGTGAAGTGATTGGATAATTTTCACCTACAGGACAAAGTTGCCAGGTCTGCTCACTACCGTCAGTAGTATCATCCGTTGTACTAATGATAATACATGTGCATTCGTACCAAAACGTTCAATGGTTTAAATGTGCTAATGTGACCAACTGACCAGAATCACTAGGCAACGTACCTTGGGACGCTTCCATTTGACTCGTCCTCTAAATTCCGGAATTCCAATGGATTTGTCGTTTGCTGGAAAGTCTAAGTCTTGAAACAGTAGGTTTTCTTCTTTCAAACTGGCGGCCAGGGAATTGTAGTTTTCAGTAATAATAATGATGGTGATGATGCTGGTGATAATGAATCTTTCCAGTGTCGGACAAAATTCCGGTTCTACCTTTCAAACAATAGAATACACCTTATCAATATATGGTCCACTGACGACTGGACATGTTACACTACTCAGGTGAGTCTCCCAAAATTGATGTGCAAACGAGTGTATCTGTTAAATGTCTGTTTGACATCACTTTATTGTTGTATCCAAAACGGGATGGTTCCGCTAATTCAGTGTAATTGTCTAAGGGATTTGAGCGGTTTTGCTCTCAGCGGGCCAATAAAGAAGGACCTAGTGGTTAAATACCGATAAGGAGTGTAGCCAAACTAATGAATTCTGTCCAGTTGCTTTTATGAACTTCAGTCAGAAAATGTGTTTAAAAAATCAAGGCGATGCACCTTAGAAGTTGAAAAGTTTTCAATCCTTCAGAAAAATCTAGCTTCGACGTCAACTGAGTTTTCGTCTTATAAGTGAAGCCAATCTATACTGAAAAGCCGCGAAGCACTGTGCCAATGTTTTGCCCTTATTCGGAGTTATCAGTAGTGCGCATGTCACGAAACTCAAGGGAACTCCCAACCCGCGACTATCCGGCTAGTAGTTTGAACAGTTAGCCGTTGAGCCACAAGCTGCTGATCAGCTTTGCCACCACACCGGTCGCGTGGTCACGTGGTCTCGTGTTGACTGGCTCCTATAGTGGTGACTTCTCAGATGGCAATTTCACTCGCCTTGTGAAATTATTCGTCCTCTCAGCTACTTATAGATTGATGGTAGTGTGAAGTGATTGGATAATTTTCACCTACAGGACAAAGTTGCCAGGTCTGCTCACTACCGTCAGTAGTATCATCCGTTGTACTAATGATAATACATGTGCATTCGTACCAAAACGTTCAATGGTTTAAATGTGCTAATGTGACCAACTGACCAGAATCACTAGGCAACGTACCTTGGGACGCTTCCATTTGACTCGTCCTCTAAATTCCGGAATTCCAATGGATTTGTCGTTTGCTGGAAAGTCTAAGTCTTGAAACAGTAGGTTTTCTTCTTTCAAACTGGCGGCCAGGGAATTGTAGTTTTCAACGCCCGCCGGCGGAAGAGATTGAAACTGTGAGAAAGAGAATTTATATTTGTGTAGACTGACTGTCACATGGGAGTGGGAAACTCAGTATAAATGAAAGGTGGATTTGAAGTGGTAGATTTGCGAGCAACCTATCAGCAGCCCTAGGAAAAATCATAGATTTTGACAATTATTCTACCCATTTTGCCTGAGGTTGAGCGGCATTTATCGGAAATTGCACTAAATTCTCTGCAAATAACAAGTTTTCCGGGTCCGGGTAGCATCATCATAGTGGATAAGCGACGGTCGGGGACACCACTCTTGAGTTCTTGAATCGGAAAAGTTTTATGAGAACGGAGGCTGTGTTTCTTGAGGAATCGGTTCATCGCGAACCTTGAAGCTTATACGTCTAACACATCTTCAGCTTCTCTCAACGCACTGTGAAGTTGTACTCGGCTCCACATCCCCTGCTCGAGATCTTCGTCATTCCGGTAACCTCACAACTACCAGATTTTCCTCTTCTGACTCTGTACATTACTTTGATACCGTTTGATTGGACAGTCAGTGAGCGCTTATTAAGCTTTTGATCTAAAGCATGCATTCGTTCTTGTCACATTTTACACATGCGAGGATGATTTCAAGGCGCTTTAACCGAGCTCGCGAATTTCACATTGCAAGTGTAAATTTAAGGGCCAGAGGGGCGTAAAAATTGTCATTCGATTATAGTACCCGGTCGATCGACGATGGCCACCCATCAGATTCTCTGGAAATAGACACTGCGTAAATCTCGCCTCGTCGGATGCAGTATGAGTCCGTATGAGTGAGATTTTTAGAGCAATAAGCATGTGGTTAGTGCTGACAAACTCTGCCACCACATGAATATAACGTTTTCAACTTATCCCATCACTGACAGCCGTCGCGTTTGAGGCTGAAAGTTGAAGTGCGCCATCAGCATACAATGATCAGAGCAAGTGAAAATCGCCCCTCAGATACCTTTTCTGAACCTTTAACGAGAATCACAGAAATACCTTTAAAAAAATCGCATTTCCGACTCCCAATATATTTGTAAGATGGATTTCATTACATGAGATTCTGTGACCTTCTTTCTCCACTTCATCACTGTTTATCTGGGTAAAAATAACTCGAGCATCTGCATGTGTTTTTCTTGACTTTCTTCGTGAAAATAAGTCTTTCTACGGGGACCACATTTCTCTGAGTGCTCTACCTTCTTACTTGGATGGCAGATTGATTAGTCACTTTCCTCCGTTCACAACATTTGAACGACAAAACTCTTCGCTCCCTCTCTGTTACATGGGCACTCCACAAGATGAAGTTCTATCTCCGTTTTTCTGCTGGTATTACCAATGACCTTCGGACAGTTCATTTGACCGAGCTTTTTAAGTCTGCTGTTGAGCTTGTTTCCAGTCCTACGATTTCATTCCCGTCCGATGTAAGTCATTTTGCGGCACCTTTCTCTGGTCTGCTTTCCAAAATAAGCACAATTTAGCCTGTAAAGATGTGTTTTTCGGTTGGTCCATATTTGAAAGGCTTTTCATAGCCTCCCGTAAAAAGTGCACATGTATTTCCCAATTATAACTGCTTCATATAGCCAGGGGCGACTTTTCCCTACACTGTTC